AAATAAAAAGAATTTGATCTGGGGAGATACCCATTCCTCTTGCCTTAGCCTTTTGTTTAATATTCGTAGCCTCTTCTCTGTACCAGGAAACCCACTGTAATTGTACTCCAGGCTCTAGGGCAGATTTAATCAAACCTATCCAATCTATAGAGATTACAAACCACATGTTTATCATCTGCTTCACAAATGAATGGATGCCACATGAGACTACAGGTTCCTTGAATTTCCCTAATTTAACATTGCCACAGTCTTCCACGTAGCTTTTTCATTTGGCACTTTCTGTAAGATTACTGGATATATTAAAGGTGGTTCTCTTGACCTTGGAGTGTTCTTTTTAACCAGAAAATGCAACGTTGAACTTGTTTATCCACAAATTCCTCAGTATGGGTTTGAATATCTCTATAATCTGCTTTAATAAGTATTTCTAAGTCCTGCATCTTAGCACTCATATCAACAGATTCCTTTAGAGATAAACCACGAATTATCAAACCAATAACAAAGATAATCAAATAATTAACAGTATGTCAATCCCAGTTAATAATCTCCTCATTTAATTGTTTCATTTTTAAACCATCCATTATGTAATCATCACACAAAGACTTAATTTTCTTCATTTTAATAGTGTCTCCATTTTTTTAGTGTGGGGAGAAAAACTCTTTTAAACTAAGTCCTTCCTTTAAGAATTTCCAATTGGCTTACCAAATCTGCTGACAATGTCAGTAAATTGTGAGAAGAGCACATGTGAATTGGAGAACTAGCTTGTGGCCATGAGCTAAGTGTGTCAGCCTAAGGAGAGAGGCTGTAGGGAAATCCCAAAAGTCTCCCTAGTTTGGGTGGCAGCTGACGACTGATTAGAAAAGCTACAACCAAAAAGTCTCACACTTGTTCAAATATTTGAGCAGAAAACCTAGCTAGTCGGACAGGGACTCAGGCAGGAGGTACTCAGGCAGGAGTCCTGCCTGCAGCTCAGGGTTGGGCCTGGGCCTGTGGCCTCAAAACAGCTTTTTTGTAAATTCATACTTTAAAGCTGGGTGCTAATATGTAGCACAAAACATAAAGACCCAGAGACAGATATTGGAGTTCAAGCTGAAGATCAGAGAACCAAAGGAGCCAGACCAATAGATCCTACCTCTACTCAGCTAATCCTGTTTCCCAAGCTCTCACTAAGCCTCAGACATCAGGCTCTCCTCAGTGTGGCTGGAAAATGAGTGCCATCTCTGAAACCCTGTTCCTGTCTTAAATACCTCTTGTGAGTCCTGGGATTAAAGGTTTGAGCTCTGTTACTCTTTCAGATTGATTCAATATTGTGTAGTCAGAGTGGCCTTGAATTAACAGAGATATGTCTACCTCTTAATCCTGCGTCCTGGGATTAAAGTTATGTGCCACCACTGCCTGGTTCTATAGCTTGTGGCTGGCTTTGCTTTCAGAATCCTCAGGCTAGCTTTAATAAGTCATAAGGAATATATCACAGTTTGTGTAGCACAAATGGGCCAGGGAGATGGCTCAGGGGATAATGCACTTGCCATGTAATCAACAAGGATGTGAGTACAGATCTCCTGCACCAAAATAAATGCAGGCTGGTATGGCCATGCTATAATCTCACAACCAGCTAAACAGACCAGCAAAATTGGTGATTTCTGGGTTCAACAAAGGGTCATACCTCAGTAAATAAGTTGGAGAGCAGTTGAGGAAAACACAAGACATCAATCACTGACCTCCAAGTACCTGAACACATATATGCCCACACCCATGTAAGAATGCATTCATTCATACATGCATATATGCAATAAACAAATAAATGACATAGCCACTTTGGAAAAATGTGTAACAGTGTCTTAGAAGACACATCTAACCTGAGCCCCTTGGTACATGCCCAGCCCTTGCTACTTATTCCTTACCAGTTAAAGTTGTGCCCTGTGGGGGAAAAACCAGTGACTTGTACAGAATATTTACAAGAATGTAATTACAGAACTCTGCAACTAGAAACAATGAGATGTCTGTTGAGAATGGACAAACTGTTGGTACAGATGAGTCAAAATTACAAAGAGGGGTACGGTAACTCACAAGATTATAGGTTACATGCCCAGCACCTGAATGAATAAATGAATAATAAAGAATGTTGCATGTACAACATAGATAAATCCCAAAAATATTATGCTGGGAGAAAGAAAACTTGTCTCTCTTGCTATTTTCTTAGTTCTGGGGATGGAATTCTGAGCTCAAACATATTAAACAATCACTCTGCCATGGGACTACATCCCCACCCCCCAGCTTATACCATCTTGAGTATGAACTCTCTCATTTGGTTCTCATAAAATGTGAGAAGAGATTAATCTGTGGTGAAAAAGATCAGTCCCATTTGCCTCTGAGGCTGGGAATGGGACAGGAGTTGACTGAGAAGAGGCCCAAGGGGCAATTCTGGAGTAGTAGTAAATTATTCAATGGTACCTTCAAGAGTCCAGACTTCCAATCAAGGTATAATTCCCCCAGGTCCCCAAATATAAACAACTATTAAGTTGTCAATGACACACATGAAGTATGTAGGGGTTAGGTGGGCATCTCGGGCTTGGTGATAACCTAACATCCCCATTGGATCAGGCCAATCACCTTATCAAGGTAGCACCTCTAGGTGGGCTCACCATAAGCCATGCAAATGAGAGGCAGAGTAAATTTTATTTTAATGAGATACTGTATTTTTTCCTCCTAGAATCCCCACCCCACTGGAAGGTCTGGGTAGGCCTGCCTAAGGCTTGAGGTAAAAAGGTCCACGTTTTCCTTCTCTTGTCTCTATGAGAAGCTGGCCAGAATTATGAATGTTGTATGCTCTTGCTAGCACTGCATACTCCCTCACTCTTTCCCTTGCCCTCTCACCATGTGTTTGCTTGTCAGCTACATGTCTGGCCTCCATGAGGCTCCTGGGCAGCTGCTACAACAGCTGGTCTGCCGTGGGATTTCTGTTTTTTAAATCTATTAAAACGCTCCTTGAGCTCCTATTTGAGTACACTCTTAAATTCTTTTATGAGACTAAGAATAAAAGGGGGGGCTCAATTTCCCCTTTATCATCTGCTGACCCCCAAATTCCTGTACATGAACGCTTGCAACTGAGAAATCCATCAAAAACTAAGATGACTGGAAGGATGGGTAAATAGTAGGTGAATGAGTGATAGAGATATGAATGGATAGGCAGATGGACAAGTAAAAGACAAACATACTAAGATAACAACCATATACAGTTCAAGTGGTATATAAATGGAGCTTCCTGAACGCTGCTCTTTTTATTTCCCCTAGATGTTAATGGGGACAATGAACACATACAAAGCTACAAACAGGGACAAAACCACTGTGATAATATCCACTATGGCTTGCCAGTCCAAGGACTGCAAAACAACATGCAAAGAGCCACAGAATTCCCTATTCCCATACCTGCTGGGCTTGGTGAAAGCATTCAGATACACCCAACCACAGCCCACACCCACTATGCCTCAGGGCCATAGCATAAAAAAGCCAGAAGTGTTCCTCATGGAGGTGTCAATCAGGCCTGGAGAGTAGTTCATTCAGGCAGGTGTGGGGAGAAGGTAACATTTTAACTAAAACCTCAGCAACAGTATCTCTGTCATATTCAAGCCAACAGCATGGCCTGACACTACTACCTGTGAACATTTGGTATTTTAGTTGTATTTATGTTCACAGCTACTGTGTGGGGATGTTTTATTGTCCTGAGTTTATGAATGAGAAGGCTAAGGCTCAGAGGTGTAGAAGTGTGCCCAGGAACACACACATAGCTGGACGTATGAGGCCCTGAAGCACATGTTCTGTCCAGAAAGAAATCTCACCCCCACAAACTGCTCTCTAGAACAATGGCAGGGTCTGTGCATATGGGCAGAGCTTTTCTAGCAATGAGTACTGTGTATACTCCTGAGTGGGCTTGGGGGTACAATGTAGACATTCATTACCTTTGGATAAGGAAGCTGTCTCCCTCTCATATGAGATCTACATTTATACAGGACCAGTAGGTTGTCACAACCACACAAGTACCACACATTAGGTCTTGTACACGTACATAGATGTGCCAACTCATATTGTTTTGTGCTTCCCTTAATTCTTTTCCATAATTTTAAAATATTTATTTATACATGTATGTATGTGTACATGTAAGTGACCATAAATGCCAGAAAGAGGCATTAAAGCACCCACAGCTGGAGTTGTAAGTATCTGAGAGCTGCCTGGCCATAGGATCTGAACTCTGGTCCTCTCAGAGAGAGCTAAGAGCAGTGTTAACCACTGAGCTGTCATCTATTCAGCCCCATAAATAATGTGCTGCCCCACCCCCAGTATGGAGGACTGAACCTAAGGCCTCAAGTATGCTAGGCAAAAGCGCTCCAGTACTGAACTATATCTACAATCTCCCTTTCCCCTTTTAAAAATTAGTGTCAGACTGGGAATAGTTAGGTGATAGTGTGCCTGACTAGTGCAAGCAAAGCCCTGGGTCCCCTTTCCTACACTCAAAACCAAACCAAACCCAAATCAAAAGGCAATCTTAGGCCCTCCCTAATCTCTAACCTTTAAGTCTAAAGACTTGGCAAAACCTGGCTTTGTTCCACTTTCCACTTAGTGCAGCCCACATTCTGAGTGGGGCAAAGGGAAGGGTGAGGAACTTTGGAGTAGGGAAAAGTTTTTCTACACATGGAGGTGTTCAAGGAACAGCTAGAGAGCAAATGCATCAATCACTTCAAGAAAAAGCTAAAGGCAGGTTTCTATGAAACTTTCTTTAATTCCATCCTTTTGAAATTCACTTTTCATTTTTATTTTCATGATACAAAAGCATTACATATCCAGAAGTGTCTGCTGGAATGTCCTTAAGGAACACACGATGCTTTGCCACTGTGTCACCTGTCTGAATGAGGGTTTGATGCATGCTGTAGTTCTGCCATGGAGACACACACACACACACACACACACACACACACACACACACACACACACCCAGATATACAAAATTACATAGTAAAAACAAGCCACTTCACCATGAATCCATGCACCATGAATCTGTGCACAGGAACAGAAACTCCAGATTCTCACTCACATGCTACCCATGACAGACTCATATCTGAAAGTAACTTGAAATAATGTGCTCTCAAAGCCTGGGTGTCTGTTGAGATGACCTTGGGTAAGCTTGGGAAAATTTCTATTGAAAAGACAAGCCTGACTGCTGTTTCTAGGCAGTGATGGTGGGAAGCAGGGGATACAACCACTTACTCACTGGGAGCCAGTGACCATGACCTGTGATGGCACCACAGGCTGAATAGAGGGATGTTCACATATCTCCAGGCAGGGTGGAGCTCAACATGAATATGACCAGAACACCCTGGAATCTGGCTGTCCTGGCATGTTTCCCAGCTGACTTCCTCCTTGGGTGGGCTTGCCAATGCTCATCAGCCAGGACAGGTTACCCAGGAACAGGAATTAATTAGTTAATAACCACACATACTTGCAACAGCACTCAACCATGACAGGTGCCAATGGTCATTTTAGATGAAAAGGGAAGAAAGAGATAGCCAAAAAAGTAAAAGGTATCTTTCCTAGGATATAAACTCAGTTCCAAAGCCCTCTCATGCCTCATTTGATTAAGTGAATACAGTATGGCTTCCAAACAGGCAGGATAGGCTAGCCTTCTCTCAGCAGCAGCATGCTCAGTGTGCTCCACCCTGGTCTCCGCTACCATGTATCGGGGACTTCAAAGAGCATGGCAGGGCTATCTTCCACAGTTCCTGGTGGGGGTGGGGGAAGGAAAAAACAGATTAAGGACATGGACAGTCATTAGGGGAACATTGTTGGCTAGCACTGACAGCACCCTGTGTACAACTTCAGACAAGCAGGAAAGGACTGGTACACAGGAAGGTCCTGGACTTGAGGACAAACCCAGCACATGAAGGGGAAGCCACAGGAACCTTTAGGAAGGTGGCAGACCTCCTGACCTGCTTTGACTGCCTCTGCTCACAGACAGGACCTGGGATGTAAGCACTTCACGACCTTCTCACTGTGCATGCAGCAGCATTCTCTGCTGGAGACCAAGCTGGACATTTAATTCACATACTTCATAAAAGCCTACCAGGTAGCCATCCCTGTCCCCATGATAGTGGTGAAAGAACAGACATAAAAAGGTAAGGGACTTAAAGTCTACCAAATGCCTGAGGCAAGTTTGGAACAAGCACTAAGCTCCTCAGTAGAGCAGCAACAACCTGGGTTTCCATGAGAGGGGGAGCAGCTGGTACCTACAGGAGAAACACCAGGGGCAGCAAGTCAGTGAGGCCCATGGGTCCCAGGACAGCAAGAGCAACTGTGGTTTTGCTGAGGCAGTGATGCAGACTGAGCCCTCCTCTGGCTCAGTTACAGACAGACAGGTTTCCTGTAGGTCAGAAAGTCTTCCACTTCTGCCACTTGTATAACAGTGGTGGGGGTGACAGTGACAATACAGCTGGATTGGTATGCAAAGTACAGCATCTAGTCTGGCTTGAGTGTAGACTGAGTTGAGGAAGAGCATGTTCATAATGGAAAGCTTCCTGGTCTGCCACCAAGGCAGACAGAGAACAGGCAGTGCCAAGGCTGTGGGCTCTAACTGCTCAAGAGTAAACTCCACAAACTTGTCTCCTCTCTATAGTAACAGCCTCTGAGCTTTACTGTGTAGTTACAGAACCTGGCAAGATGCCAAAAGATGTTCTGAGGATAGACATATCCCGATGGACAGTAGAAGCCCAGCAAATAGCTATTGTTCCAATTATTTAGGTACTTTCATCATATGGGAGGACATCTGGTATTTAGCTCCCTGTATATCTAGGATAGTAAGTGATACCATTCTGTGTGGCATCTGTATGCATTACACCCAGTGGTTCTGCTTCTGCTACATACACACTATCTGTAAAACAGGCTGGCCACCTGTTAGGTGTCAGCCTTCCTGCAGCACTAAGGCTGGTACTCACAGAACTGACTGTTGAAGTTGTCGGGCAGATACCGCACCACATGCTCCCTAATGCTGCACAAAGCCCCCACCACCAGCAGAATCTGAAGTCCCACTCTTGGCACTTTCAGGACCTCTTTGCACTCCTTCATGACAGGTCTTACTCAAAGTAAGCAACAAGACTGGTTAACTCAACCGGTTCAGCCTCTGATTACCCAGGCCAAGCTTGCAGACACAAACAGGACTGAATGCTTAAACCAAGATGGTGGAGGGTCCAGCAAGTTCTGCCAAGTAGTCAGGGGCTTCAGGAAAAAGCCCACTGCCACCACATCCTCCAATTCAATGCCAAGGTGTCTCTGCTATGGCATTTCTTTTTGCATTACTGACAAAGAAGCACAAAATTTACTTTTGTTTCTAGTTCACATGTTCAGCACTGACAGTGTTGCTTCAATAGGAGGGAAAATGCCTAAGTTTAAAACCCTAAATAACTGATGCAAAGTTTTCACTTAAAATGATGAAAACTACAAAAGAAATTAATTTATTAATGTATTGTATAACTATATGTTTTTATTTTTTGGAGACTGGCTTCACTTAACTCCCTGTATAGACAAGTCATGGGGATCCTTTGGTCTCAGCCTTCCAAATGCAGTCATTCCAGGCATATACTGTCAAGCCTGGCCTTTTAATCTGAATATTTTAGAGACTGTGATGATGAGGGCTGGAGATGAACAGCTGCAACCAGGACTGCAGTTTCTGTTAAAATGAAGCTGCAGCACATGCAGACAATGCCTAGGTGTATCTTTTATTGCTTGTGGATTTTTGGTAATTTTGGTGAAATTCAGCAAACTCTTTACAGATCAGGACACAGGCAGAGTGGAAAGGTCAGGGTTATGGCTAGGACATGGTCATACCTATTGCCTAGCATTGCTCTATCTCACTGTTGATTGTTAATCAAGGCCATTGTCCACAAGTGACACAAAGAAGGAGAAGTACATCTAGGCCATTGTCTCCTCATCCTGAGCACACAAACAGGCCCTGGGTGAAAGCACGGGCTGGCTTCTTTGCTGCAGAGATTTCAGGGGTCTGGGACCTCAGGCAGACTCCAGAAGCCTCTGTGTTCTTAGTCAGAAAGTAGACAGTGATAAGAATTAAGGACAGAGCTTCCAAGCATTCGGGCCTGTCCCATATGTAACCAAGCACACGGGGAGCAGCACTTTGGGTGCCTGCTTCCTGATATCCCTCAGAGCAGACACTAGTGACGAGAAGCCATCCAACTCAATCCAACTCTAGGGTCTGTAGGCACTGGCTGTTTGAGGCAAGTGTAAAGTGCAAAGGCAGAGCTGGCTCAGGCTGGCCTGGGTCCCCTGGTTCTACTTCTCACACTTCCCTAAGTTCTCAGAGCTTGGAGCCTGGATCACTGCAAGCGTGATGGTTCCCCCTTTCAAGGCTTTTGAAAAGACATAAAAATCAAGTGAAATAAGGCTCCCACTATAGAGTCTGGCATACCTAGGCTCTGAACACATGCTAATTTCCCATTTCCTTAGCTTCTTATATAATTCTGTTTGTGAATCAAATCAGGATTCCAGAGTGTCCCTGGGAACAGTGTCAAGTCTGCTACTGATACAGAACATAAGGAGTTGCTTCTATGCAAATCTAAATGCATATCTTAAACATCGGGGCTACAGGGAATACACATGTAATACCTTGATAACATGGTGCAGAGGAGAATTATGAAAATGGTCTGGGGCTGGACAGATGGCTCAGAAGTTAAGAGCACTGGCTGCTTTTCCAGAGGACCTGAGTTCAATTCCCATCAACCACAATGGTGGCTCACAGCCATCTATAATGAGATCTGGTGCCCTCTTCTGGCCTGCAGGCACACATGCAGGCAAAACACTGTATACATAATAAATACATCTTAAAGGAAGGAAGGAAGGAAGGAAGGAAGGAAGGAAGGAAGGAAGGAAGGAAGGAAGGAAGGAAGAAAACAGCCTAACTACTTCTCACGAAGAGTCCTCAGCGGGTTTTGTGTGCCAGAACCAGGGTTTGTTCCAGCCTCTCAGATTAAAATTCATTGCTTGTCTCTCAGTTCCTGTATGTGTGTTACTTTGAAGGTTGTGGAGCCTTTAGGAAGTGGCAGGTGGTGGAATCAGCTCTTTGAAGGTTAAGCCAACCCTGGTTCTGGCCTGGCTCCCTCCACTTCCTATCTGCCACTACCCAAAGAAGCATGGACTGCTGTGCAGCTGACCCCTGTTCTAGCTACACAGAGAGAAGCATCGCTGCCATCCTACTGAACTGAGTCCGAACAAGCTTTTCCTCCCTTAAATTGTTGGGCCAAGTAATCCGTCACAACCATGAAAGAGCTGCTTTCATTACTGCTACAGACAACAGCTCCATGGATTATCACATGTGTCTGCCCTCAAGTGAAGCCCAGCTATTATTCTGTTCCCCAAATATAAGCCTCCTGAAGCCTGAAGCAGCCCATGATCAAAGTTAGTCAGACCAATACCAACCTTCCAAGGAAAGTTCTTTCTTCATTCTTTTTACCTTCTTGGCCTTTTTTCTTCCCTCTGGGAAGGGGTCTGCACAGGAATCTATCTGTTCAAGCTCAGAGTCAGATATCTCCTCCAATTCTCTGTCCTCCAAGCCAGCTTCCCCTGGGTCAGGACTCAGATTTCTCTTTCCAACCATGCCAGTTGCTGTGATGCTGCAATGTACAAGGTGTACAACATGAGTGGTGTTAGGAGCTTAAGAGGGACTAATGAAAATGTCTCAATTATCAAAATCCTATTAACCTGTCACTGGTGGACAGCACTGGAACCCAGGCTTGATCTAGGGCAAACTAGTCAGGGGCAGGCTATACAGGACACTGTGCACACAGTGCAAAGATGAGCTGTTTTAGCATTAGCAACTCTTCACAGAAAAAACCCTGGCTGCACCTCAATAAAGCTACTGCAACAGAGGAATGAGGAGTACAGCTATGACGACAGGATCAGAGCTTTGATGGCACTGAACCAAAAGAGAGCAAAGCACCTTCAGAACCTGCTGCTGATGTAGTCCCAGATGGAAGAACTCTTGCTCCAGCTGCTTTTGCATGAAACGTGAATAGCTACAGAACACATCCTGATTACATGTAATTCTCTTCTCCTCTAAAAGGCTGAACTGATAGGCGATGTCATTCTGTAAATAGGTGAACTATTAAGCTTATAATGAAAACTGGTTTTCTTTTTAAGGCTTTATAGGATTTGACATATTGAATTAAGCTACATTATATGTCTTATTTTCCTCAAGAAAATACATTTCCTTAGATGAAACTTGATGAAAGCTAGACCATGTGGTCAATAAGTACTGTCTCCTAGAAATGGGTCTTGTAAATACATTTTTTTTTAAGTGATGGAAAGTATTTAAAAAAAAAACCAAAGCATTCTACTTAAGGGAAACATTCAGTACAGAGAACAGCATGAGCAGGGAGAGAAGAGAGTTAAACTTAGTCCTATTAGCTTCCCTAGAAAATATCACCTACAGACATTTAAGTCAAAACTTTGGCTAGCCAATTCTTTTCCTCCATGGTCCTCCCATCTCCTCTGTATTTGACAGCCCTCTAGACAGTCAGCCTGTGTGGGGAGGGGTCATGTCAGCCCTCTACACTTTGAGGGGGGGGGTCAAACCAGTCCTCTAGATTGTGTGAGGAGGAAGGTCATGCCAGCTTTACCTCTGACGGTTGGCCTGTTTCACCTCAATTACACAGGTGGTTTGTTTTTGTTTTTAACTTTTTGTTGTTTTCAGGCAGTGTATTACTCTATCCTAGGCTGCTCTTGAACTCATGAACCTCTTGCCTCAGCCTCTTGAATGCGAGAAGCACAAGCATGTGCCACTTAGCCTAACTAAATACAGCTAAAAGTCTGTGAAGAAAAAGGAAGATGTCAATAGCAACATTTTTGGGAAGGAGGTCATTGTTAAAAATTCATTGCTATTCATGGCTTTAAAACTGGTAATAACAGGCAGGGCAGTGGTGGCCCATTTGGGAAGCAGAGGCAAGTGGATCTGTGTGGGTTTGAGGCTAGCCTGGTCTACAAAGCTACACAGAGAAACCCTATCTTGAAAAACTAAAAAACAAACAAAACAAAACAAAAAACTGGTAATAGCGGCAGGGAGAAGGCTTAGCACCTGCCACAAGACCTGAGTTCCATCCCCATGCTCCTTCTGACAGAAGGAAAAAGCTTAGCCCTTATCCTCATGCTATTGATGCTACCTCTACTAGATATCTGTGAGTACCTGGGTCTGTTTCTGGACTTTGTGTTTTATGAATTTTTGTTTTTTAGGATGGGGTTTCTTATGTAGCTCTGGTTGTCTTGGAACTCACTTTGAAGACCAGGACGGCCTTAAGATGCCTCCTGAGTGCTGAGACTAAAGGCATGTGCCTTTAATAGATCCAGCTACATTTTGTTAAACATTATGATCTTAAGCCACCAGACCCCAGAACTCAAAGCCCAGAGAAAATGACCACACCTCTTTTCTTTGTAGCATGGGGAAGTCCTAATGGGTTAGTGATTTGTTTATGAGTTTCTGAATTGTTTAAATTTTCTGAAACTATCTAATCTTTAAAAAGACAAAAAAAAAAAAAAAAAAAAAAAAAGCTCCTCAAAGATATTATATCTTTGTTTTTTGAGATAATCTCTTAATGTGTAAGCCAAAATGCCTTTCACTCTAATTTCCTCTGCCTCACTTTTCTGAGTACTGTAATCATTTACAAGCACCACCATGCTCAGCCTACCACCAAATTTGTGTGTTTGTTATTTTTTTGTGTGTGTGTGTGAGCTGACACAAATTATTTCAGCAAGGATGGACTTTCTCAAATTGCTGTTAAGACAAGTGAGAAAAGACAAATGGAAGGCTTCTTACACTATTCATGTAAGTGCATGATGGACAAATATTTAAATGTAAAAAATGTAAGGTTAGAAGTACTAGAAGAAAACCTGGTGAATTTCGATAGCCTACGTATGGAAGATGCTGTCCTTGTTATGATTTGCTACCCATATACAGTCAAGATTTGTAGGTTTGACTTCATGAATATAAAAATTTTGTGTATGGTAGTTGTGTGAGTAAAGCAAAAAAAGAAAAATAATAAAGCAGGATAAAATACTGACCACATATATCTCAAATAAAGGTTGATGTTGCTAACATAGAAATATCGAAACATAAAAGAAAACTGTAATACACACATTTGCACACACTCCTTAAACATGTTTGTGATGCAAAAGTACAATGCTGAACTGTGATCTCTCACCACTAGGTCAGCAAAAATATCCACATAATTGTTGATCTATTCTGTGAGATGATGAGGATGGGCACTTTCATGCATGAGAATGAGAATGCAACGTTCTGCCAGGGAGATGGGGGCACCTAACAAAACAAGTGGATACTCTTCAAGCCAAAGAGCTTGCTTCTAAGAGTTCAAAAGATAAACCTTCAACAATGCAAAAACAGAAAATGTAAAAATTTGTGTGTGTCATTCATTACCATGTCATTTCTAACTGCAGAATATGGCAAAGCAATGGAATGTTTAAGTATAAGAAACCAAGTGACTATACTATAAGATATAAAGATCAGTTTCAAGAAAAGACTGAAAATGATAAACCAGGAATGCCTATGCATCTGTTTCCAGTAACAAAAACGCAAAAACATAAGGTGTGAAAGAACACCTCATGTGGCTGTTACCTTCAGTCCTATGGGGTGTGGTGAGAACTGGAGAAGAACTGAGTGTGTCAGCAGTGGATGAATGAGCAAAGACAAAGAATACAGGGTAATGACAAACAAGCCAGTGAATGTGCTGCTGGGGTGCAGATGAGCACACAATGGAGGAAAGATGAGTCTAGGGTGTGGGCTGGGAGATGCCAGGGGTGAAGAACTTACTGTGTAGCAAAGACATAAAGCACACAAAAACTTTGAGTGCCAGGTCCAGCTAGTCTGTCTCATGCCACAAACAAAAGAGGCCCCAGTTTAGTTCGCAGAAACCCTATCTAGCAGCTCACAACTGCTAGATTCCCCTCTGGGGAATCCAAGATCTCTGGCCTCCAAGGGCACTATACTCTCACATGTATGTACACACACACACACACACACACACACACACACACAATCTTTAATTACCACAAACAAGTGACCAAGTGCACCACATGAGCTTGTAGGGCCATTTAACACTCAAATGCAAAAGAAGTGGAAGAAAGAAAGGAGGAAAGAAACGAGAGGAGAATTCAGCTCAGTAACACAAGGAAAAGGCCATCTTGGCCATGTAACAATGGCTCATCTGTGGGAACATCCTTTCTCCAGGCTCTCAGCTTGGAGATGAAACAGTGTGTTTAATTCTTCAGTGTTCTAGTCCTTGCTCATCCAGTATCCCCATGATTACCAAATTCTCTCAGGAGCTGCCATATACAAAATTTTTATATTCATGAAGTCAAATTTATAAATCTTGACTGTATGGCAGCCATGTGATCAAGCAAAAAAGATCTTGAGTCCTATTCAAACACTCCTGCTGGCTCTCCCCAGCAGGTTACCACCATGGTCACACAGCTTTCCCCTGGTCTCTGACAACCTGGTCTCTGAGGTTCGTCTTAGTTGATGAATCTCAGCCTTTCTACCTCTCTCCAGTCTCAGTCCCTTTACAGATTTACTCCTTTTAAAGTCTGCCAGTGTTTCCACACATTGGAAGTGTGAGCAAGGACTCCCAGCTCAAAGGCATCTTTGATTTTCCACCTGCACAGCCTCTAGGACCAGCTCTTTTCTCATCTCCTCCTTCCCTGGCTCAGACACAGACTGTCCACCAAATGCCATTTCCACAGTACAAGACCATTCTGTGCCTCCTGCTTTATTGTTCCTGTTTATGCAAAGTGACTGCTCCCTTGGCCCTACTCCCTCAAATACCATGCACCCATATTCTGTGTAGTGCTCCTTGTCCTCCATGCCCCAGGGCTCTGCCTGGCTTTCCCTAATGATTTTCCTTCTTATTTAGACAAGTGAGGTGTGTTCTTACTGTGAAACACATGAGAGCATTAACAAGTGAGGAGTTAGCAAAATATTCACTAGGTGAACCCCACAAAAACAGTTCCAAGCAGATGATGGGAACTTCATATAACAGTGTGGGAACTTCACATTGGCATTTATTATGAAATTCCAGAAGAGACAAAACTGATGATATATGAAGAAAAAAATTCCAGAGGGATGATGAGGTGGGAGGGTGCAGATTTGGTAGAACTTGGGGCTAGCCTAAGCTACACAGTGAGCTCAACAACAGCCTGGGTAACACACAAAAACCAACCAAGACAAGTCTGTTCAATTTCTACATACCTATGCAATATAGTACTTGACGTCTTAGCTAGAGCAATTAGACAAGTAAAAGGGATCAAGGGGATCTTGGAAAGGAGTTAAAATATACTTATCTGTAGGTAATATAATAGTATACATAAGTGAGCCTAAAAATTCCACCAGGAAACTAGTACAGAAGATAAACACTTTCAGCAAAGTATCTGAATACAAAATTAACTCATAAAACTTATTTGTAGGTAATATAATAGTATTCATAAGTGAGCCTAAAAATTCCACCAGGAAACTCCTACAGATGATAGGAGTTTCAGCAAAGTAGCTGAATACAAAATTAACTCATAAAAACAGTAGCCATCCTATATAAGTGGCAAATAGACCAAGAAA